AGGTATAAAAGCTTCCTGCTCTGGTCAGTTCTTAGATCTTCATTCCCTTATGAAGGCACCCAAGTACATATAAAAATTCAGTAAAATTTGTATGCTTTTCTCCTATTAATCTTTGTCAATTTAATTTTCAGACCCAGCCAGGAACCCTAAGAGGGTCAAAGAAAACTTTTTCCTCCCAGACAGATCACATCTAAAGATGACATAAGAATGGAAGGAGGTTGGGGCGCCTGGGTGGCTCAGTCGGTTATGCATCTGTCTTCGGCTCAGGTCATGATCCCAGGGTCCTGGGATGGAGTCCCGCATTGGACTCGCTGCTCAGCAGGGAGCCTGCTTCTCCCTCTCCTGCCGCTCCCCCTACTTGTGCTATCTCAAATAAATAAAATCTTAAAAAAAAAAAAAAAGAATGGGAAGAAGTTAAAAAAGTTGTATAAATTTTTAAAATCTTAAAAAAAAATGTTGGGGGAGGCGCCTAGGTGGCTCAGTCGGTTAAGTGTCTGCCTTGAGCTCAGGTCATGATCCCAAGGTCCTGGGATTGAGCCCCTCCACAGACTCCCCTCTTCAGCAGGGAGTCTGCTGCTCCCTCTGCCCCTCTCCCTGCTCATGCTCTCTCTCTCTCTCTCTCTCAAATAAATAAATAAATAAATAAATAAATAAATCTTTAAAAAGAGAAAGAAAGACGGCCATTGGTGGTCAGAAGGTAAGGGTAAAATAAAGGGGCAAGCCAAGGCAAACACTGCAGGACTGAGTCTACAAGTGGACAGTATGTTCTGGGCAATCATTCTTGGACTGAAGTCTTGCTCCACAGGTCTTATTTTTGTATATGGTGGTATAATATCTGTGAATGTTCAAAGGATTTTGCGGGTGGGATGTTCCAAACACAAGGTCTTCCCCTGAAAAGCAACTGAAAACATGTGTATAACTATTAAACCATACTTGCGTAAGTGAATCAAGAAAAGATTCTCTGATGACTGTTTTTCATTCTTATTCCAGAAGTAAGAGTAAAATGGTAAGGAATGGGTATAAAATGGAGGGTGGGGTGAGGGTTGCCTGTTCCTTTAGTCTCTATTCTATAAATAATTACTGAGGTCCTACCTTATGCTGCACAGTCAGCTCTAATATTTTATATTCCTGCATCTAAGTAGCTCAAAATAAACTGCATATGCAAATAAAACAGTTTTATAAGGAATTTTCCAATGAATCACTTACTGTTCCAGTCTAGATCATCTGGGTAACATCCTCTCTAAATGTAAGTATTACATTCCATAAAGGAAAAGGAAATCTGAACCAGACTCTCTGCTCCTTAAGACAGATTTTTTTAAAACTCCTATCCTTCACCTCTTCTATTTCAAATATCCAACCATCATAGAGAAGAAGAAAGCACCTAATCATCCTCCAAAATACAACAACAGGTTAACAGACATGAGAGAAATAAAATGGAAACAGAGGCATCTTTTAAACATGTCCTTTCATGTTGTTTTATCTACCAAGGCACTCCCTGATTTGGGCTGTCTCCGCACCTGGCAACTCTTGTACTGCTACATTTAGCACATTGAGTGTATAAACTTTCTATTTACTTAGCTCCTTCTTGCACTAGACCAGAGGCTGCTGGAGAGCAAGAACCAGGTTTTAATCACTGCCATATCCCCTCCCATAAAGTAAAGCCTGGTCCATAGGAGGCCTACTGATGGTTATCTAGGTCTATAAGCTAGAGAACACATCCCAAGGGTTATTGAGAAAAGGACGGCCTAAAATGGATATTAAGAGTTAGAATCAGTGTCTAGAAAACTCAAGGAGCAGTAATGGAAGAATTACCAGTAAGGGAACGCAAGCAAGAGGGAGGGCAGGTTTGAGTAAATCCCTGAAATAAGAACTATGCTCTTAACCGACTGTGTGAAGGAAAAAGATGGGAAACATTGGGATGCTAGTACAAAATATAAACAAATGGGATATTAGGTTTGCAATTTGTTATGTGTTGCACTTTTATATTTATCTTTGTCAATGACCTCTCCAGGATTTGAAACTTGAGACTTCTGAACCATCCTCACCAATCCCTCCCCAACATCACCACGTCCAAGAGTCTCAGTTCTTCTCTGGTTTCTCCTTAATCCTTTCCCAGTATTTTATTCTCACAGCTGCCACTTCTGTTTAGATCCCCATTATTTTTCACTAGAGTCGTATGCTCCTAATTCAATTCTCTCTTTCCTGTTCTTTAAAAACTGTTCTCTGGTCTGAGCCTATCTTTCTAAATTTTGGTTCTGATTATATAACTTCCTAATTCAATAACTTCAATGGCCCTCTATTTGCAAAGGTCTCTAGAATAAAACTCTAAGTCATTATTACCACGATATAAATAACATGGCAGAGTGAACATGCATGGGCAATGGAGTCAAATAGAACCAAGTTTTGAAAACTGCATCTACCAGTCACTAGCAGTGTAACTACATGAGTCACTTTTACCTCTCTAAGGTTCAGATTTCCAGAGAGAGAAAGAATGGTAACTAAGAAGACTAAAAAAGAATGTGCCTAGGCTAGTGCTGGGCTCTATATCTTTCCTCCCACCTTCCCACCCAGACCAGAATTTCAGCCTTGATGATATCCTTACCCAGCTCTAGACATTGTGCCTCACGATGCTGTCCTCTGTGCTCCTACAAGATCTTTGACTGCAGTTCACATATCACTTATCCAATTCTGCTTGTGTCTTATTAATTATAAGCACATTTAGATATAATCATTTTTGAGCAGTTAGTCCTTTCTTTCCTTCTAGGTTGAAAAAAAAACTCAAGATGAGGATTTGATCTTGTTCATCTTCTTATCTCCCATAACATAGAGCATTAGGTACTACGCATAATAGGAACACTATAAATGTCTACTAGTTGAGTTGTATACTTTTACATGATCTACCCAAGTTTTAAAACCAAAATTTCCTTTTGCTTTAAGAATTAAAAGAGAAGAACAGAGAATTACTGTCACAGGCCTTGAAATACAATTAATGTTCCCTAAATTGAGTTGATTAATTTGTGTGTCACAGACTGAACACCTACTATGGTGAAGACAGTCTTTAAAAATAAGGGTTTTCAGGGGCGCCCGGGTGGCTCAGTCGTTAAGCATTTGCCTTCGGCTCAGGTCATGGTCCCAGGGTCCTGGGATCGAGCCCCACATCGGGCTCCCTGCTCAGCAGGAAGCCTGCTTCTCCCTCTCTCACTCCCCCTGCTTGTGTCCCCTCTCTCGCTGTGTCTCTCTCTGTCAAATAAATAAATAAATAATCTTTAAAAAAATAATAAAAAAATAAAGGTTTTCAGTCAAAAAAGATTTGGGCAAAAGAGAATAATAGCTACTCAAATCCATCATTACTACCGAAAAAAAACCACACCCAAAGATCAGTTCTAATGTTATCGAACAACAAAATTATTCTGCTCTAGAATATGAGTATTAATTTGAATAGGTTTGTATTCTGTTTCCACAGAAACTAAAACCTGAAATGAGCTTAAATTGCATGCAGAAATGTATGACTTTTAGGACGCTTTAGCTGAACTGTATCCAATGAAAACAATTATGTTTCCTATTTTATTTTTGGTAAATAATATAAAGATCTAATCCTTGAGCATATTAAAATTAATACAATGATACTGCATATTTTTAAAGTATTTCTCTTGAAAGTAAAATAACCCAAAGCCAAACTTTTATGAGAGTATAGAAGTTATTACTAATGTAACTTTTAACAGTTGTTGCTGCTAACTTTTATAACAACACATGTCAAAATGGTTAAGCTCATGAATTGTCAGGAGACCCCAGTTAAATCTCTTAGAGCTTTAGCTTTTGACCAAATGGACTTAATCTCCATCTGATTGAGCCCTTGATAAATGGTAGTTGGGTAAAAATCATCATCCTTATCACATAAATTTACTTCGTTGTAATTATTTACGCCTTGATTAAATATTATATATCGCCATTACATTCTATATGTATGTATAATATTACATTATGTATTATAGCGGCGATCTATAAAATTCTCAGCTACCTTTTACAGATATTTTTTACAAAGTACTCTTCTTTCAAAGACGCTCCCAAGGCTATTAGCGGCCAGAGCCGCTCCAGGCAAGCCGCACTGTGCTCACCCCCTCTGGCGCGCGGGTGGCTTCGTCGAGGGCCGGCTCCCGAGGCTGTTGCTGCGGCCAGGCGGTGCTCGGCCGCGAGGGGCCCGCGGGAGCCGCGAGGGGCGCCGGCCTGTGGCGGGCGCCGGGGCCCAGACTGGGCTGCGCGGCGAGTCCTGGCCAAGCCACCCTCGCTGCCCCGCCCACTGGCGGGAATGAGTGACGGCGACAACAGGTGCAAGCGCGGAGTCCGAGGCTTCTCCGGAGTCCCCGAGTTTGGCGCGTCAGGCCCGGGGGGGTCAGAGTTTGACTCTGGAAACCGCCCTCCTCGCCTTGCACCAGCCTTCCGAAGTCGCCCCTCAACCGGCCTCTTGCTCCTTAGCAAAGCCTGAGGTCACGTCAACCTCTCGAAACCCACCAGTCCCGGGCGCCGACTTTTCTCCAAAGGGGAGAAGAGAGGAAGGCGTGCGGTGCATGGTGCTTTGCATAACCGTTCGCGCTCTCCTCCCCAGCCGTCGGAAAGCAGGCGAGAGTGGCCCCAGAGCCAAGCCCTCGTCCGCACACCACACGCCCACCCCGACTTGGGGCACGCTCTTCCCCTCAGACGGCCCAGCTCGGCGACCACGGGCCACAGCCGAAACCGCCCGCCCGCGCCGCTCCCCGGCTTGCGGCGCCCGCCCGCCCGCCCCGCCGTCCGAGGCGACGTCGCCTGCTCCTCCCCACCCCACCCCCCCGGGTGGCAGGTTCAGGCCCCGGGTCCGAGCCTGCGCCCCTGCAGCTGTCACTGCCGCCGTCGCCGCCAGGGGGAGTGTCCGTCGGGAAACGTGGTGTTGCTTCCTTGGTGTGAAGGTGCTTTCAAACTTCGGGTTTCTGTTCCTTTCCCCCGGTTTTTGAAGCGCGTAGAGGAAGATGGAGACGGAGTCCGGGGCGGTGAGTACAGCAGTCAGGGCCTCCGGCCCCGGGGTAGCAGGGATAAGGAGCAACGTGGACTCCGTTCCTGAGGGGCCGGAAGAGCGAGGTCTAGCGCCCAAACGCCCGCTATTTTGTCGGGAAGAAATGTGGACAGGACGCCTCATCTACCACCGCGAAGAGCGGCCCGCCTGCAAGCCCGGTCGGGTCGTGTCGTGGGGTCGGGAAGGTGGGACCACCGGGCCTGGACCGGGTGTAGGCTGGCTGGGGGACCTCAGTAAAGGCCGGGAGGTTTCGGGAGTCGGCGGGTGGCTGCGTCCTATGCACCAGGCGGGGCTGGGCAAGAGCAACAGCTTTCCCGCCGAAACTGGGCTCAGCGACGTCTTTGACGCTCGCTCTGGCGGGACTCCGCCCAGCCGCCCACCGCGAGGGGTTGTCAGGGCGGCTGACACCGCCTCTCCCCGACTGGTCAGTGTGGACCGGAAGGCCTGAGAGACCTGGGGGGAGGGGAGGGGCCCCGTGGCCCACGACGGACCCAGAGACTCTGACACCTCAGGGCCCGGTGGGGGAGGGGCGGGAACCGGAGGAGGCCTGAGGGGCCTGAGGCGCCGAGGCAGGCGCCGCGGTGCCCCGCCTCGCGCCCCGCTGGCAGCCAATCAGCGCGCGCCACGTGCGGACCGGGGGGTTGCCAGCGCTCAAGGCCGACGTCTGGTCGGTGCCGTTGAGGATTCCCGCCGCTACTGCTGGCGGGATTGCGGGGCAAGATTTCTCGTTGGCTAGCCTTCTTTTCCCTCCCGCACTTTGGTGGGGAGGGGGTGGATCCTCGTGTCAGTGTCCAAGTTCACGATGACCCGAGAGAACCCGAGGAAGTTGTTGCCGCGGCCATATACCCCAGCGCCTCAGCTTGCTGGCCTCGGAGGGGAAGGAGCACCGAGGCCGTGACCGCGACGGTTAGCCTGCCCTCTTCCTGTTGTCTCCGTTGGCAAAGTGGATGATAGATTTCGAGGTTAATTCTCAAGGGAAGAAGTCAGTAAGGGCACATTAGAGGACATTTTTAATAAACTCTTTAGTGTAGTCCTAAGCTAAGGATCCTTACTTCTAACCAAATAATAGCACCTACCTAAGTGCTTTTCATACATTTGCAGAATCATTGCCAGTGGAATCTGAGGCTTTATTGTTTAACTCCATGCATCGCTAGCCTTCTCTAAGGAATTTAGATGTTGCTTCTGCTTGAGCCTTGTCACTGCTAACATTAAAATATTTTCCAGGTTATTTTAATAGCATATTCTTAAACCTCAGCCTAATGGTTGGGATATCAGGAGCAGGAAGAAATGATTCGTTTATTCATTTGTTCACCAAATATTAATTGAACATTTCCTATGTACCGGCTCTACTTGAGACGCTTAGTGAGCAAAACAGGCAGAATCCCTTCCCGTATGAACATTGCACTATAGTGGAAAGTGATAGACAGTAAACACAAGTAAATTATATAGCATGTTGGAAAGTACTAAGTGGTAAGAAAAATGAGGCAGTTGGAACCCCCAGTACAGCAGGAGTCTTAGAAACTGGAAAATGAAGTGAATAGGTTGGAAAAGTTAGATGTTTTTCCTTTCTGGGTATCATTTAACTAGTTCTCAATATAGGAAATAAAGCATTCTTTTCACTTCTGTTCATGTCATCTCTCTCTCAAGGAAAAATAATGGAATTAACTTTTATTTAAACCAACTGGAGAACAAACGAGTTCATCTGTTGAACTCATTTTGTTTTTAAGAAGAAAATTTCATAAAGACTGATTTTTTTAATTTTGCAAATACGTAATTTCTGCACTCTCTAAACAGACAGACAAGATTATATCTACTAGAGCTGTCCTATTATCTCTAGCAATGCAAATATCCAGTAGAAAAATAAAACTACGCATCCCCAGATCATCCATCCGTTCTCTGTACTATAGACTCACTATTTGTGACTGAAGTTACAAATAACCTCCAAATGCCTAGAGAGCATGCTGTTAAGATTGGATTCCCAATTTCTTTAATTGGAAACTACAACATAGCAATTATTAAATGTGATAAATTTTCTGTGGTTTAATAGGTGTTTTTGTGAACTCCCTTATTAGGGAATATGTGTTGTTTGTCCCCCCTTAATACTAGATGCAGAATAGAGCCCAGTAAGGTCCAGCCTACAGCCCCATAATCACTCCTGGTCTAGTCATTTCTCAGTATATCTTGAAGAGATTAATTTAGGGATTATGGTTTTATTGGCCAATGAAGTGAGAGAGGAGAGCAAATATGAAAAAGAACAACTCCATTATCTAAGAGATTCATTTTCATGTATTTGTTTCTCAGAGAATTGAAATTATGAACTGCAAGCTTTTTTGAAGTATTCATTTAGTATGTTAGACTGTCTCGGAAGTCTGTTAAGTGTCCCCAGAAAGAAAGTAATTAGCAAGTGCTTAAATTGGTTTCTCTTCAAAATTCTATTCTCAAGTCTTGTTTTTTTCAGATATACGTTAAGAGTCTGCCATCTTGCCATTGTACAAAGGCTTATATGTTAATATATATTTATTAAAATCTAAATTAGGCCCCCAACTTAGAATTGTGAACATACATGTACTGAGCTCAGTTCTTTGGTATACAAATTTATACCTATGAGTTACAGGTATATACATTTTTTTTATGAAATCAGTTCAATGTTCAAATTGACAAGTACATTTAAAAATTTGACTTTAAGAGCTAAAATATGGCGAACTTGAACATCAAAGTTTATTGACTTGTCAGTGCCCTTTAGCCAAAGACTGCCAGGAACATACCTGCAGTTAAGTAAAGTTGGGTCTATTGAATTGTTGGCACAAGGAAGAGCATACACCATGGAGCCTCTAGGTAAGAGGGTGTTAGAAAAGAACTTACTATGGGATTTAGGCTTGTGTTAAGCTCTTTTTAGAGAACATTTAAGGGAGAAGGGCTATACTCTGAAATACATGTTGTCAGAAAGTGGGAGTAATTCTATGATTGGGTATGTTAATTTTTATTTAGAAGGTAAGAAAAATAGATTGAGGCCAAATCTGTGATTGATAAAGAAGGAGCAGTTACACAAATCAGCCAGGATTTTTGTTTCTTGTGGTTTGGACAATGTTTTTGTTTTTGTCAGGGTTCAGACATCATTATGGAATGGTCTTGTTTTTAATGTGATCCATCACAGTCAAAGAGTAACTTTGCCTAATGTCTGTTAACAAGAGAACACCACAGCCTTACTGTGAGTTCCAGGCCAACACCTAACATCACCAGAACCAAGCCAGTTCCCGGCTGTCTAGGGCTGTTTTTCTCTTTCTCAAACTTCTTTTTCAAGTTTAATATTCCTTAACATTTATAATATTTAAGTAGTATATTTAATAGCAATTAACATAAGTATATTTAAATAATATATTTTAAGATTTAAGATTTTCTCTGTAGTGGAGTAGACCCTGTATTTCCCATATTTTTGTTGCTCCAAAAAGTTATTAGTTCTAACCATAATTTTCATATTAGAATAAAATTAAAGTCTAAAATATTACATTTTGCCTAAATGACTCAACTTTTTGATAGATATGTTTTCAGCCTGCATCAAAACTTATACCCAATGCTAAAAATTTAAAAGAATTTTATTTTACAGCAAACATCAAATCAGACGCCAACAGATTCATTATCTCCATCCCCTAATCCTGTGTCACCTGTGCCTTTGAATAACCCAACAAGTGCCCCAAGATATGGAACAGTGATCCCTAATCGCATCTTTGTAGGAGGAATTGACTTTAAGGTACCTATTTATGTATGCAACATAGTATATTTTTTGCATTAGAAGTTATTTTATTTCTCAGAAATACTTTGTACAACTACAAAAATAATATTTACTAATTGCATAATGATTAATAGGTTTCACATTGTCTTACTATAAAGAATCTTTTCAATAACAATGTAGGTTAAATAGAACATATATAATTGTCCAGTTTCACATACAAGGAAATTGAGGCTCATTGATGTATCTACAGGCTCCTAGCTTCTTAGTGACAGAGTGAAGACTAGAATTCCAATATTCTGACTCATAGTTTCATATTCTTTACTTCACCATACCACACTAATTATACTTTATTACATAGTATTCCAAAAGACCAAATAATGTATGACTATAATTAAAAGATTCAATATTTAAAAAAACACAAAATTTAGTCCTATGAAATCCTATTTCTTTATCCCAATTTTATTGTCAGGTTCCTACTGAGTAATATCCTGAACATCTTTCGCAAATTGTTTTCTGCCACCTAAGTTAGAATCTGATCACAAAAAAAGGCCTGTGACCTTATCAGAATAAAGCATCTTCACATTAATATATTTTAATTATGAGGGGCGCCTGGGTGGCTCAGTCGGTTAAGCGACTGCCTTTGGCTCAGGTCATGATCCTGGAGTCCCAGGATCGAGTCCCGCATCAGGCTCCCTGCTCAGCAGGGAGTCTGCTTCTCCCTCTGACCTTCTTCCCTCTCATGCTCTCTTTCTACCATTCTCTCTCTCTCTCAATAAATAAATAAAAATCTTTTAAAAAAATCGGTTAATTATGTAATCAGCCATTTCACTGTTTCAGAGAGGCTTAGTCTGTGTTGTTGTTGTTGTTGTTGTTGTTAGATGTTTTGCAGCACCATTTGGGAGGTAGTAGTAAACACCTCTAGGAAAGGCCTGCATGGCTATTTTGAGTAGAATATCCTACTTCCAAATGGATATGTAGAAGGATTTCCAAGCTTCCATTTTATATACTGGAAATGACAGGGATAGTTGTTTTTCTTAATTAAAAAAAAAATCCTTGTGCCATTAGGGTATGAAATTTATTACTCACTATATCCCTGTAATCAGTCTTTCACAATTTGGATGAAATTACTTTTTTTCTGCTCAAGAGAAATGTTACACTTACTGTATTTGTCAGAATAATGATTCTTAAGCAAGTATGTGATTGGGTCACTAAAAATAAAAATTATTTCTAATAAAATGTTTATTTTTTTAGAAAGATTTTCTGTTTCTATGGAAAATATTAATGGCTGACCATAAATATTCAAGTTGAGTATTCATGTTCAGAATTAATTTATATTACAAACAGTATAATTTTTAAATAAATCTTCAATAAATGGAAACATTTGTATGGCTAGGTTATTCTAGGTTACTGAATTCTGTCAACTACATTATGAGCTTTGGAGGCCATTGTAACAATGCAGTTATAGCTTTCAGGTAATTGCTCGGGTTCCCTCCCTGATACTTATCCCTTTTCCAAAACCAGACAAATGATAAGGAAATAGTTTACTGTAGTAGCAAGCTGTGTCAAATTTTGTAAAACTTTTCTTTTTAGAAGCTTATAGCCCATCCCTCTTCATACTTAATCATCTTAACTCTCAGTTTTCAACAAAGAAGTAGAGCTGCAAAATTGAACTAGTGATTCTTCTATCAGAGAATAGTTTGAATTAATTTGTTTTCAAATCTCTAATAAAAATTCTTATTCTGGCATTGCTTCCTTTTTCAGTTTATTGAAATAAGAGCTATTTAGTTATTCTTATATTAATTCAGTATTAAATGTCATCATCCAGTTTAGTAGCTTTAGGTTACCAACTAATAGCTTATAATGTTTGTAAGTAGTGAGGTAGCGGGGGAACTCAAGAGGCATAGCCCCACTATTAGGCATGTCTTTTTCGGGTATATAAAGAAAATTTTTTTCTAGGGATATTTAAAGTTCCCCATGGCATAGTTATACCTGAGCCAGAAAATGAAATTGCAATGAATTTAGTGTGAATACTCTAGGAAAAGGTGATATGAGTCTATTAAGAGACTATTTCAATTAAAACCATCTTTGTAGATATCTTGTACATAATAGTCTAATGACTCATTTTTATTTTGAATATCATAATGTCATTATTTAGTCAAAATGTATATTGAGTAGGGATAAACTGTCTAAAAACTTTAAATCTTGTAGCCACTTCATTGGTATCACAAACTGAGTTCAAGTACTTTAGGAAATATATTCCTTTCCTAAGACCTTACTCTTCCTGGAGACTGCAGATTAAAATAGAGGGACTGGTATATATTGCCAACATCCTAGTTCCACTGCCATGATTGTGAGCCTCTCTGAGCCATAAGAACCAATAGTAATATGCCCTTACTATAGTTACAGCCATGCCTAATTCAAATTATTTTTTAAAAAACTGGCCAAAAATAATTTCTTTAAATATTAGTGGACTTTCTTTGTAGTTTTAAAGTAATTCAGCTTAAAAATTTTTATTGATTATAATAGTTTAATAACATAGTTACTGCATAAAGCAATGTATTTACATTGATTTTAATAATTTAGTGGTTTATATACTGTTTTTATGTTAAGAGGCATTCTTATATTCATATTACTCTTTGCTTATAATCCTTTTTGTCTCCAAAACAAACATAAGACTTGTTTCATTTTTTAGCAATTAAAAATTTTTTTGTGTTTTTCTTTTATGCCATTAGACAAATGAAAATGATTTAAGAAAGTTTTTTTCCCAGTATGGGTCTGTAAAAGAAGTGAAGATTGTAAATGACAGAGCTGGAGTGTCCAAAGGGTAAGTATCACTATAGAAAGTACATAGAATTAACAATTGTGTTTTTATTGGATTACTAGGTTTTATATGCTTACTTACTTTGATTCCATTTTTTTAAAAGAGAATTTCATACCCTCTTCTTTTCCTCCTACTTTAATCTCCCATTTCGTGTGTGGGTGTGGGTGTGTATGTATGTGTATTTTGGAGGGAGGGGGAACACTATAACACTCCTTAATTTGTTGGAAAGTTAGTTATTCTTGCATGGGCTGAGGGACCATTCAATGTTAGGTAGCAAGCCTTTAATGTTGAGTAATGTACAGTAGCTAAGGAACCAAAAGCTAAAGGAATCAGATATTTTTGGAATTGTGTGCTTGCTTTAGACTAGAGAGAGCTTTATTTGAAAAAAGCTGGCAAAAGGAATGTCTGTAGGTTTTGCCTCAGAGACCTAGTTAAGGAACTAACCTGACAAATACAACTTTAATGAGAATGGTTTTTAATTGCCAAATCAAAGAGAATGAAAACTGAGAAAAAATCAGCAGGATTTGTCTAAAAATCACTAATGACCTTAGAGCTGTTTCTGTGGATTGGTATATGCAAAAGCCAAATTTCACAGAAGAAAGAGGTAGTTTACATAGTGTACTCACTTAAGAAGTTTGACAGTAAAGTTAAAGAAAATGGGTAAGACAGTGGAGATCAACGAAGGATTGTTTGCTTTCTTGAAAGAGAGGTCAGACATATATATTTATAGACATAAGAGAAAGGAAGGACCAGTGAGGTGGATAGAAAATTATACTAGTGTGGGAAACCACATTTAAGTATGTCAGATAAGCACTTTGGAAGAGATGGGATTCTGCAGAGAGGTTTTTTTTAAACAATTGAGATACTTCCTCAGACTGACAACCAGTGTTAGGATGAAGTGAGATTGTACCTCTTGTATTTGATTAATAGAATTTACAATATTTTGGTAATATCCATTTTTTTTACCGTTGAAAAACACATAGAAATGTAAACTGTATTTTATGCCTTTTCCACTGGGTGGTGTATGTGTTCTACCAAAAAATTTAGCATAAAAATATTTCCTTAGCCCTTGCTTAATGTTTGGGCAAATAAAAAAAGAAATTCCTTTGTTAAAAAAAAACTTTTTTATACAATAGAGTAATTATGAATCAAAATAATAGTCAAGATATTTAACACTACTCTAGTTTCCTTAAGTTATCTAAGTAGAAATTATGCTGGGGGGGATATATTTTTTATTTCTTTCATATCTTTTTATATATTTTGGCTTTTTGGATATTGCATACATAATATAATTGTATCTTGAACATTATATGAATTGTACTCTGAAGGTAACAATAATATATGAAAAGCAGATATAAAATCTGGGATGTACATACTTTTAATTGATTTATGTTTGGGAAATACTAATAATTGCTTTATCAGTTTATATGTGCTAATAATAAATAATATATCTATATACTCATTTGCCAATATAAAAAATTTTATTGTGTTGAAATTTTTATTTTTTTTAAGTTTTTTTTTCCTACTCTGATTCCTATTTAAGCTAAACTTCTATTCTGTACTAAAATTTATTGTATCCTAATTTGTAAGCTAGGACATGAATCCTTCATGCTTTCCTGCCTTGTATACAGCTCAGATGTGGAACTGTTTTAAGATCCTGGGTTGGTTTTTTTTTTTTTTCTTTTAGTGTCCCAACTCTAGGAGGAGGTGACCGTGTTATGTTCTGAATGATTCTCTTAAATTTTGCATGATGGTGCTCCATAGAAAACTGCTCCTTCCTATAGTGGCCCATTCTTAAAAAGAAATTGAATTTTAATATAACTCTAATGTAATGTTCTAAGAAAATAATTAATGTATTTATTTAGGTATGGTTTTGTCACTTTTGAAACACAAGAAGATGCACAAAAAATTTTACAAGAGGTAAGATCTTTTGATGTATTTAACTTCATTTTTTGGAACTTCTTTGAAACTAATCCTTTAGGATATCTTTTTTATTATCATTCCAGTACAATGATTGACTATTAGAAAAAAATTTTTAATTTATTTGCATCTCAAGATTGACGTTGGTCTCCAAAAAAATTGAATTAAAAAAAGATTAAACAGGGGCTCCTGGCTGGCTCAGTTGGTGGAGTGTGCAACTCTTGATCTTGGGGTTGTAGGTTTGAGCCCCACGTTGCGTATAGAGATTACTTAAAAATTAAGTCTTTAAAAAAAAGATTAAACAGAAATTTTATCTACAGAAAAACAAATTCCAGATTATTGCATGAGTATGCGAAGTTGTAATAATTTTTTCTTTATTTGCTTACTAAGAACTTGGGTATGTATGTTTTCTGAAGTGTTAATAGCACTTTGAATTAATTCCTAAACACACTACAAATATGGATTCCTAGAGTGAAATTATCTGAGATTATTTCCATCCTTTCTGAAAAACTTTATATATGCTAAGAACATTCATAGAAAAAGTCTATAGCCTGCAGTTCACTGTAATAACTTTAAATTTGACAAATGTTACATTAAATTTTTTAGGAAAAAATAGTTTGAATTGTACATTATTAAATCACATGCAACTGATCTTCATTATTCATAGTAATGTTCTATAAAGTCGCCATGAACACTCAATTAGCAAATATTGGGACTGTTGCTCCTAGAAGAAATACAAGGTTCCCACAAGTTTTTGTTTACATTATTTTCATCAACCAATCAATACATAACTTTGTTTTATGTGTGTTTCTGTTTAAAGACATCATGTTAAATATATATTATTGATTCATTAACATTGAACTCCTGGCCAACAGCACTATAACTCGTGTATGAATTAAGCCCATCTAAAACATTTTCTCCATAAGGCAAATGACAGTCTTCTTGTGCTTAGGAACATTATTAGCCAGCACTTCAACACTACACTTGAGGGCCATTTTAAATAGCAAAATTTTAAAAAAAAAAAGCAAAATCACCAACATAAAACACAAAAATGCAAAAAACATGGCACTAACAACATGAAATAGACTCTTGTTTAAGAGCTGAGACAAGAAGACAGAGTGTTACCTTGTTTGACCTCAGCCTGGGACTGTGTATGTCAGGCAATTCAAAATTTTCACCTCTCTGCTCATGTCCACTAGTAACCTACTGTGGCTAAATTGCCACAGTATTGATTTTGGGGTTACAAATAATTTTAGTAAATAGGTGAATCCCAAATATGGGATCTATGAATAGAGGATTGACTGTATTCCAATTAAAGAACTAGGGTCAGAGAATTGGAACCAAGATTCAAATCCAGATCTTTTAATATCCAAAGACTATGCCCTTTCCAGTATTCCTTGCTACTTTCAAAAAATGTAATGTGAATTTTAAAAATTGTTTCTTACTAATTTTTCATTATTGGTTTTATAAAACACTAGTACCAAGATAATAAAATATTTTTTCTTATTTTAGGCTGAAAAACTTAATTATAAGGATAAGAAACTGAACATTGGTCCAGCAATAAGAAAACAACAAGTAGGAATCCCTCGTATGTATTGAGAACTAATGTATTTTTCAGTGTTTTTGCATGGTTCTTTTTTGAAATATTAGACTTTTTCGAGAACTTAATTAAAATATCAGGCTTCTTTCAGTTAATAAGGTTATTTTAGCAAAGTTGATGATCAAATGAATATTTCTTACCACAAATTAATATATGTTAGATTTGGGGGGGCAGGGAAACTTTTACACAAATAATGGTGCTTACATATATTGCATATAGTTACATCTTTAAAGGAAAACTCTTCTACATAAAAATATAATTTAAAATTGCAAAGGTAATTAGAAGTATTTTGGTACTACTCATTAGAAGTTTTTCTAATTAGAAAAGTAATTTAAAATTAGAAATTGAAGATACTGAAAGTAAAAATATAGAACCAGTATCAGAAACCCTAGTTGCATGGTAGGTACTGTAGCCCAACTAGATATGTCATAATTATGAGGGAACAATTCCTAAAGCTTTAAGAATTGGCAAAGTTGTGCCTTCCTCAAATTTCTGTAATGCTGCCAACTCTATTCTTCTTTTTTTCTCACTCTTCCTATTTATTATATTAGGCGTCTTTACAGTTAGATTTTTACCTAAATATTTATTAAATTCTATAATAGTCTTTGGCTAGAAAAAGATACATAAAATTAGTAACTAAATTTTCTCATTCTTGCTTAACTGTGCCCTAGTATCTACTGGAATGTTTAAAACATTAGGTGGTTATTGTGTATCCGTTAACAAATTAATAGTTGTGCTCATTTGGACTGTTCTATTTTTGACCTAGAAATTAACAGTTTTAGGGGTGCCTGGGTGGCTCAGTTGGTTAAGCGACTGCCTTTGGCTCAGGTCATGATCTCAGGGTCCTGGGATCGAGTCCCACATCGGGCTCCCTGCTCAGCGGAGAGCTTGCTTCTCTCTCTTCCACTCCCCCTGCTTGTGCACATGCTCTCTCTCTCTGTCAAATAAATAAATAAAATCTTTTAAAAAAAGAAAAAAGAAATTAACAGTTACCAAGTTTAATTTTGACTTAGTTATTTGTTAATTTAGAAGATAACTGAAGTGTCCTTAGTAGGTTAATACTTCTTGTTAGTTCCAAGAGTTAAGCTGTAACATGTAGTAACAGTTCTATACTACTAGCAGTAGGTATAAGTAGTAATGTTCATATTATGACCTATAAGTTGCATTAAAAAAAAACATAAATCACCATGCTGAATGCTTTCAGACAGACAGTAAATTTGAGAAGTATAGGGTTAATAACTTAACCAAATGGTAGCATTAGCCTTCAAATCCAGGACAGGTTGACTCCAAAGCTCTTTATACTTTTCTTCAAATAAATATTAAGTATAAAAGTAGATTTACAAAATACGGGGGATTTTTAATCTCAATTTTTTCTCAAATCTATCTCTTTTTCCATCTTCCATTACCAACATTCTAGTCCTAGCTACCCACGTTGCTTGCCTTGATTACTGGAAGAGCCTCCTAGCAGGTCTTTCTGAATCCAGTTTTGGTACCTTCCAACATCATGTACAAGGCAGCCAGAGTGATCTTTCAGAAGTGTACATTTTATATTATTCTCTGCTTATTTTGAGTTGTTCTTTCCTTTTCTTCCTATACTTTAGCCATCTAGCCTCCTCTCAGTTCCAGAACATACCATACTCCTGATATACATTATTTTCTTTACCTAGAATGCTCTTTGCCATCCCATTCCCATCCCAATCATTTTTTTTTTTTTTTTAGATTGGGCATAGAGCCCAATGCGGGGTTGAATTCACGACCCTGAGACAAAGACCTGAGCTGAGATCAAGAGTCAGATGCTTAACTGACTCAGCCACCCAGGTACCTCCCAATCATTCTTTAAAGCTCAGCCCAAACATCATTTCTTCACAGATTAAATACAATTGGAAAGTTCATACTACCAGTGTAATACCCTATACTACCTCTTAATGTATTTATCAAAATCGTATTTAATTAATTAAATTGTGTAATAAGCTAATAACTGTTTTCCCCACCAGAACCTAACTTCCACATGGCATGTCTAATTTTTTTTCTTTTTTCTTTTTGGCTGTATCACCAGCCAAGTTCAATGCCTTGTAATAGTACTGACTCAAAATTTATTTATTTACTTAACAGATAAACCTGTGGCTTCTTGAGTATCTTTGAAGGGAAATCCATGAAACTCCTGAATTGTGTGCAAAATTTTGTTTGAATGTATATATCTCTGAGAAAAGGGTCCATGCTGTTCATCAGATTCTCCAAAGGATGGGATTAAGAATCACTAACATAAGCAGTAACAATACTAGATGAAATATAGTGAAAATATAAAAGCTCAGAAGCAGTAGGGCTGCTTAAAGTGGTAGGCCAGTGCTACTCACAATGTGGTTTGCTGCCAGTTAACAGTTCAGTTGGAATCTGTCAAAATGCAGATCCTCAGGCTCTATCCCAGACTTACTGAATCTAAATCTCTGCAAATGTGGCCCTGGAATTTGTATCCTAATAAACTATCTAGGTGATTCTAATGTATGTTAAAATTTGAGAATTACTGGTATAGTGGAAGGAGGATTGCCAGTTCCACTAATTTACATAAACTTGCTGGTTAGTACTTAATCTGACTTGGCTTTTATATAAATTTTTCAAGTGTTATCTTGGCAAAAAAATATTTTTTTATTTTGGGGGAGGGAGGGGTTTTATATAACTTGATCTGAGAAAAGAGATGGGGACCTAGAACTATACATGAAGATTTGTGGTCATGTTTGCAATAAGCAGCAGTTGTAGCAAAGGGAGGCTGGAGAATAAGAGTCATAGCCTCAATGAATGCTTGTGATAGTAGATCCAAAGAATTTTAGGATGGAACCAAAATTCTTCAGGATAGTATGGAATCTTTTCCAACTTCACCGCCTTCATCATCTTTGGCCTTTTACAAATAAAGTTCTTTTTTTTTTTAAGATTTTATTTATTTATTTGACAGAGAGAGGGAGAGAGAGCAGGAGCAGGGAGGGAGGGGCAGAGGCAGAGGGAAAAGCAGACTCCCCACTGAGCAGGGAGCCCAATGTGGGACTCGATCCCAGGACCCTGAGATCATGACCCAAGCCGAAGGCAGCCGCTTAACTGACTGAGCCACTCAGGCGCCCCAATTTTTAGTATTCTTTATTGAACTCATTTCTTTTTCTTATATTCACTTTAAGCTAATAAAAGCTCTAAGAGAGTGAGTTTGAAAATACATACTTTGAAAATACTTTAACGTATGGGATTTTTTAAAATTTGCAACATTCAGTTTTTACTGTAACTATATAGGTGTGTTAAAATAAACATTTTCAAGTGTCCAGAAATTACCTTTTTAAAAGTTAAACTGAACATTTTAATTATTATTATTATTTAATCTTTGCTTTAGGTTCCAGTGTAATGCCAGCAGCTGGAACAATGTATCTAACAACTTCAACTGGATATCCTTACACTTATCATAATGGTGTGGCTTATTTTCATACTCCAGAAGTAACTTCTGTCCCACCACCTTGGCCTGTAAGTAATTTTCATCTTAAAAGGGTTTCCATCTATTCTATCAATTTTTTAAAACATTTATTTCTGAAATATTTCAACCATAGACAAGTACAAATAATAATTAATAGCCATGTAGCTACCACTTAAATTTAATAAATGTTAACATTTTGCCATATTTATTTAAGTTCTTTTAATAAGGGGAAATGAAATATGAGAAATTCAGGCAAAGCCTCCTTGCCCCCATTTTCTTACCACCTTTTTCTCCTCAGACATATCCAGAATATGTAACCAGAATATCTTTCCTATCATTTTATGTTTTTACTACAAATGTAGGTATCCTTAAACAATAGGTAGTATTGCTTTGGGTGATTTTTAAACACTATGTAAATAATCAGTTTTTCCATTCAACATTATGTTTTTGAGATTAAACCATGTTGATACTAGTATATCTAATTCACTTATTTTAATATTTTATAATATTCCATTGTATGAGTGTATATTCCCCTATTGATGGACATTTTAAGTTTTTTCTGTAATCAAGACTACAGTGAACATCCAGATCTTGTATGTATTATGTGAGAGTTTGTCTAGGAAAGTAGTCTTCAAAGTTTTTCGCTTATATATCCTCTAAACATTATCTGAAAAATTATGAATACTCATTTTTAAGTTGATATCTGAAATTTATAATTTTAAATAATTTAGGAATATATTATGTATGCTGTATACCTAAAACTAATATAATGTTATGTCAGTTACGCCCCCCCAAAAAAAGATAGAAAATGTCTAGAACTCTGTTAACAAAACTAGTCAGCCAAATAAAACTAATCAAATAAAACTTCATTTCTATTAGAAAATTCTTAACTTTTAATTATTTTAATTATTTTTAAGTTCAAATAAATGCATTAATATGTATTCCTATAACCATGATGTAACTTACTTTGTTCCCTGGGTGAAATAAGGAACCATCTCCCCTTTAATATTTCCTATACAAGCTCTTTTTGCTTTGCTTCTCTCATTTCTCAAGGGCATTGCCTTCTTGAATTATCTATTTCTATGATGCCCTGTTGGTATTTATATTCCCAAACAAAGCATTATAACAGATCCAGAATGAGTGAGAAGTGTGCTTTTCATCATGAAGGAGAATGGTAATTGTGAATGGTAATTGTGAAAGGGATTTATGAAAAGAAGACAGACACATGGTACACAGACACATTCACAGGCAGATCAAATCAGGAAGGAGTACATATGAAATTTATGAATACTCCTAATTTTCATAAATATATTATGAATACTTCTAAACCCATTCATGCCCATGTACCACTGGAAAAATTTTGTATTCCCCTGCCTTGGTCTAGGCTGCAATATATGCATAGAGGTAAAATTTCACATTATAGAATATACACATTTTTGACTAAATGTTGCCAAATGGCTCTCCAAAATATACCAGTTTACACTTTAGCTAACAGTTTATGAGAGCTCCAGTTTCTCCATAATCTACCCACCCTTTAATTTTAAATTTTTGCCAATATTATTATGAAATAGTATTTTGTTTTTTTATCTTCCTAGTCATTGGTAAGATTGAACATATTTCACGTATTTATTGGCCATTCCACTTTTCTTCTGTGAGGTGCCTCTTCATGTCCTTTATCCTTTATCTTTTTCTATTGGGGTTATTTGTCTTTTTCTTGAGTTCATTATATGAATTTTGTGAGTTCTTCTGGTGTGTGGTTTGTCCATTAACTTTACAGGTTTTTTCGGTCATATACTAATTCTTTCTTTTAATGTTAACAAATGTATTAATGTTTTCCTTTATGGAAATGGTTTCATCTTTTGGTCTCTTATTTTTAAAACAAAACACTTCCGAAAAAAGAATAAAAAAATTTAAATTAAAAAAACACTTCCTTATTACAATATAGGTATTCTATATTTTATTTTTAAAATATTATGGTATTGCTGTTTTTCACATCTAGATCTTAAATCTGGAGTTCATGTATTGACTAATCCATCCTCTTTCATTATTTTGAAATGAATCTTCTATGAAATGCCACATTTGGGGGGGGTTCTTCTGGGCTCTCTATTCTGTTCCATTGGTGTGTTTGCCCTGCCCAATTCTGTTTTAATTCCTACTGCTTTAGAACGAGTGCTAAAATCTGATAGGGCAGTCCTGTCACTTTTTTCTTCAGGAGTCTCTCATCTATCCTTAAGTCTTTACTTTTATAAATATAAATTTTATAATCCAGCTTGTTCAATTCTGTGAAAAGCCTTTGTTGGATTTTTATTAGAATTGCATTAAATGTGTAGATTAATTTGGGCATAATACTGAATTTTACCATCCACAAACATTTATTTAGGTCTGTTATTTCCATCTGTCAATAAAATTTTCTTTCTCCATAAAATAGTTGAGCACATCTTCTGTTAGATTTATTCTTAGGTACTCTGTGGTTTTTGTTGCTTAATAAAAGCAATCATACTTCCCAGTAGGTTGTGACTTGTATGTAATAATGCTTTTTTAAACGTTGACATTTGATCAGTAACCCTACAAAACTTTCATATAGACAGTCATTTATGATTCAGTATACTTCTGTTTCTTTCTGCTCTTTTCTCATTTTTTCTCCATTGAATTACTGCACCATCATTGTCTCTGCTATAGTATTTATACGATAACATGACCTTGTTCTTGAAAAAGGAAACAAGTTCAGTGATTCATGATTAAGTTTTATATATACTTATATAAACTTTATATATACCGTGTATATATTTATTTATACACTGTAGGTTTTGGAAGATAATCTCAGCCATAACCGAGGTTTCTCAGCCTCAGCACATTGACATTTTGGGCCAGATGATTCTGTGTTGTTGGAGGCCAGTCCTGTATATGGTAGGATGTTTAGCAGTGTCCTAGTCTTCCCACACCTATAAAAAGCAAAAGTATTGCCAAATGTTCCCTAGGGGGGCAAAGTCACACCTGACTGAGAATTATTGCTCCAAATCAGTTAAGGAAATTATTTCATATTCTGTTTGCTAAGAATGAAAGAGTATTGAATTTATCATGAAAGGGTATTGAATTTTAACAAATCTTTTTCTATATCTGCTGAGATTTTTTTTCCTCCTTTAATCTATTAATAGAAAATAAATAATATAGTAAATTACATTATTCTTTTCTAATGTTAATCTGTGGTATAATTTTATTAACATAGTCTGAAAATTGTGCAAAACTATGATACTTTTCTTCATTTTGCAGAGGGGAGGGAGTGAACATTAAAACAAAACGGTGTAAAGTAGATCCCATGTTACAAATTGAATTTTAATTGCTATCATTAAAGCTTATTTTACCTATCTTATAATACAATTTGCCTGCTTTATTAATGGTCTGGTTTTAAATAATCTATTTTGGGGTTTACTCTAGTACTTTGAATAATGAAGTGTTATGCGTACTTTCTTCAAAATAGAGAAATCACTTAAAATTTACTTTCATTTAAATATCAAATTAATAAAATAGGATTTGATAAATGCTTCAATAAGTAATATATTTGATTTAATTAAATGTATAACAAAGGAGTGGGAAATCAGTGGCAAATCAGATATGATCATTCAGTTCTATGTTGTGTAAATATTATCTACTGCTGGTCTCATGATGGAAATAGGCAGTGTCACCTTAAGTCCAGCTGCCATTTTCTTTTAAATATTCTCTTAGAACTATATTTTCATACTCTTTGGACTAAAAGCAACTTTTCTGGTGGTTGTTTTAGCATTACCATGAAAATGAAAGCAAAGAAAAGTGGGAATACTGTGGTGATTTTAGTAGACTTAAGTGGAATTAGTAATAATATCAATAAGAGGTAGAAAAATGACATTTCCAATTATAGACCGTAAGTTGACTGGGTTTAGGTAACAATTTGGGATAAATTTTATAACAAACTATTTTAAAGAATTTTGCCTAGGCCTAAAATAATTTTTCAATTTTTTTCCCTCTTGTAGTCACGTTCTATATCTAGTTCCCCTGTGATGGTAGCTCAGCCAGTTTATCAGCAACCTGCATATCACTACCAGGTAAACATGGAGTTACAGTGAAAATTCTCTTTAAAAACTGTCAGTCCTTTTTGTGTAAATTTCATTGTATTCTTTCTCATGCAAATACTCTAATAATTTAAAAGAGATAGTTAAGCCTTGATAGCAGTGCTGGTTTTCTTTTTTTTCTTTTCTTATGGGGAACTAAACAATATCATACAAGAAGATGGAATGTTTGCTTCATTTAACCAAATGTAATGAGGTTGGGTTTTGCTCTCCTGGCTAACATTTAATCTAAGAAGTTTTTAGAAATAATTCCCAAAGAAAGATACAGATAACATATTGGATCACAGGCTGATTTTTTAATGTTATTGTTAACATTATGTCACTTTCTTGCTATTATATTTAACATAATCTATATTAAAATAAGTAATATATTATGGTTTATATTATGGCAGCCTCTTTTAGTTAACCAGTACTCTTCATTAATTCTTGTGGGAGACTGGGGATAAATGAGCCATAATGCCAGACCATCTTGGTGTTTTATAAATAAAGAATATTTGTTGACATACTGTCTATGGCTGCTTTTGTATACAATGGCAGAGTTCAGTAGTTGCAATAGGATATTATGGTCTGCAAAGCTGAAAATATTTACCCTCTGGTCCTTTATAGAAAACGTTTGCCAACCTCTCCTCTATTGCACTCACAAATAAAATCACATTCTTTCCTACCTCTGGAATTGTGGAAGAGAATTTATTTCTGTTTCTTTTTTCTTTTGAACTTTTAAAATAGACCCAGATTAAATGTTAAGTTTCCTGGAATTCTTTTTAATATTAGGCTGGGTTTTTGGGGGGGGATGGTGGTGTTTAAATTCTAAGTAGAATTTAAGATTTAAATTTATTTAAATTTATTATATTATTACATATTAATGTATATTATATATTATTATATTACATTATTTATTTACAAATAAATTTGTAAATCCTGTTACCATGCTAAATATAAAACTATCTAAAGTGTTTCACTTACTAAAGATGAAAATAACTTAATGACATATATTTAAAATATATATATTAACTTAATGACATATTTAAAATATAACTTAATGACATATATTTAAAATATGTCACTTTTCCCTAAGCTGCCTCCAAATTCCAGCAGAAGCCCCAAAGACAGAATATTAGGTACCAGAACTTTTAATATGATAAGCCAAATATTGTGAAACCTGTTGGCGGACCCTTAGCTTATTGCCCACCTTGAGTACACATGAGGGGAGGATGAGATTGCAAGAGAGTTGTTAGAATGCTATGGCATGTCCCCTTCTTCCCAACCAAGTAAAGAAGACATCAGAGAATGACTGAGAAAACTTAATGTTTGTCCCCTGAAATTTGTGAGATGGTACTTGGACCTGACCTCTCCTAAAAAAGTCCAAAGAGAGAGGTGGAGGGTTGTGGTGAGGGGGAATAAATTAATTAATTAAAAAGTCCAAAGAAGAAGCTGGACTAGTCTCTGGAGGCTAGAAAACTACAGTAAGAATGTGTTGAACTTCTACTCACAACAAGCAAAAGTTTATGCATCCCAAAAGCAAGATGTGAACCTCACAGAAGAAACCCTTTTCAAAAACTTAAAGGTGATCCCAATAAAGAAAGAACCTGTGTGAAGTAGACGTCTAGAATCAAGGACTAGAATTGCAGTTAGAAGTTCTCAGTGGGGAGAGGCGCCTGGGTGGCTCAGTAGGTTGGGCGTCTGCCTTCAGCTCAGATCATGATCCCAGGTTCCTGGGACTGAGCCCCGCGTCAGGCTCCCAGCTCAGTGGGGAGTCTGCTTCTCCCTCTCCCTCTGTTTCTCCCCCTGCTCGTGCTCTCGCTTGTTCTCTCTCTCAAATTAATAAGTAAAAATCTTAAAAAAAAAAAAAAAGTTCTCAGCAGGGAGATCACCAAAGAATCCAGTAAACTACCTAACTAGAGAGTCAGCATTTGGAATCTGCCACACTTAAAAAAGTGATCTGTCCTAATATTTATCCTGTGGCAAGGAAGAACAGCTCAACACAGTGCTTTTAAAGTGTCAGGGGGCGAGAAAGAATAGAAGTGCTTTCTGCTTGCACCCCATTGAGTCCAGCTCCTCCCTTCATTAATTGATTACATACAGCTATAGCTCACTTGACATACCAAATACATTCTTAAAATTTCTAATAGTTTAATTTTATAGTTTGACTCTGATGTTCTGTTTGACACAAGTTATAAAATTGGAAGTATGTTACCTAGATATTACTCAGGAAGGACTTTGGTACCAATTTATAATATAATATTTTGTAATATAAAAAAATCATTTCACCTCACATATTTCTTTTCAGGTATATATTCATCATTCTGCCTCTTTGATAAGAATCTTCCATTGTTCTTTCTTTTTACCAGTTCTTTTTTTTTTAAAGATTTATTTATTTTGAGAGAGTGAGAATGAGAGAGAGAGAGAGTACATGAGAGGGGGGAGGGTTAGAGGGAGAAGCAGGCCCCTCGCTGAGCAGGGAGCCCGATGCGGAACTCAATCCCAGGACTCCAGGATCATGACCTGAGCCGAAGGCAGTCGCTTAACCGACTGAGCCACCCAGGCGCCCATCTTTTTACCAATTCTAAGATTGGTAGCTTTATCATTTATTAGTCAAATCAGGTAATGCATGGTCTAATTAGTATTTATCTCCATATTTCTCATTTCATAAGTAGTTATTTCATTTATCTAAAAACTATATAAATCATTTTATTTCAGATTTTTTATTAAAATATTTTAGGAGATTATTTATTATCCTGCCTGTCTGAATGTAGACTACAGAACATAGACTTCACATTATCTTGGTCATTATAATATAGTGATGTTATCCATTAGCAACTTAAATAGCATTAAATTAACAGTGATTCAGTTTAGATGGCAGATCCATGGCATCTTCTTACTCTTTTTTGTTTTTTTTTTTTACTTTATAATGAAAAAAGACTATTAAAAATGGAAAATAAAAAATAAAACACATATTAAGAAGTAATACAACTAGTTTAAGAAATAAATGTCTGACATACTGTCATTTACAATAAGTTTAAAAAATTTGACCCTCTTTTATTTAACAGGTTTTTAATATATAATTCACATAGCATTCAATTCAGCTTTTTAAAATGTGCAATCGTGTTTTTTACTAAATTCAGAGTTTTATAGCCATACCACAGTCAATTTTAGAATATTTTAATCAACCATCCTCCCAAAAAAACCTTACCCACTAGTAGTCACTCCTCTTTCCTCCTACTCCCAGCCCTAGGCAACCAGAAATCTATTTTCTGTCTTTATAAGTTTGCCTATTCTGAACATTTCATATAAATGGAATCTACCATATGTGGTTATGACTGGATTCTTTTATTTAGCATAATGTTTTCACGGTTTATCCATGTGGTGGCATGTATCAGTACTTCATTTCTTTTTATAGCTGAATAATATTCCATTATATGGATATAACACATTTTGTTTATCTTTTCATCAAATGACAGACATTTGGGATATTCCCATTTTTTGTCTGTTATAAATACTACTGTGATCACTCCTGTACAAGTTTTTTTTTAAATGATTTATCTCCAGATATGACTTTTCTTTTTTTTCTATTATGTTATGTTAATCACCATACATTACATCATGTATGTTTTCCTTTATCTTAGCCTTATTACCTGGGAGTAGGATCACTGAGTCATATGGTATCTCTATGTTTAAAGTTCTGAGGAAGTGTCATCTTGGTTTCCAAAAAGGCTGCACCATTATACACTCACACCAGTTGATGAGGATTCTAATTTCTCCACATCCTTGTCAACACTTATCATCTACCTTTTTAATTATAGCCTGTCTAGTGGAGACAGTGGATATAAAGTGATATCACACTGATTTCCATAAGCTGAGGCCAATGATGTTGAATATTTTTACATATGCTTATTGGCCACTTTTACATATCTTCTTTGGAGAAATATCTATTCATATTCTTTACCCATTTTTTTAAATTTGGGTTACTTTTCTTTTTATTATTGAGTTATAACACTTCTTTATATATTCTAGATGCGAGTTCCTTATCAGATATGTAATTTATAAATGTTTTCTCCCATCCTTTGTATTTTCACTTACTTGCTGGTATTCTTTGTAGCACAGAAGTTTTTCATTTTGATGGAGTCCAATTTATCTCTTTTGTTTCTTGTGCTTTTCATGTCATAGTGTAATTGCCTAATTCAAACCCACAAAGATTTACACATATTTTCTTCTAAGAATTTTATAGTTTTAGCTCTTACATTTAGGTCTTTGAACCAATTTGAGTTAATTTTTGTATATAGTTTGAGGTTTAGGGATCCAGCTTCATTCTTTTGCATATAGATATTCAGTTTTGGCCCTTGTTTATAATCTGGGTGGGTTTTTTGTTTTTGGTTTTCATTTTAGGCCCCTGCACAGTGTCTACCAGGACAGTGGCAGTGGGGTGTTTCTCAGGTAAATATTAACTTTTTTCATTGTGTTTTTGTGAAGACTGAATGAATATTAAAGTCAGGAGAACTAGATTTGAGATATTCCTCTTCTATTTAGTAACTGTGATACCTTTGGCAGTTAATCACTATATTTCTTAGCTTCCTCATTGTAAAATGGAAGTAATGATACCACATCTTTGTAAATTTCTTTACCTGATCTTGGTGAAGATGAGATCATGTAAGTGAAAGCATTTTATTAAAAGTGAGTACTCATATAAACATGAAAAATTACTTTTTACTATTATGGGAAAATGTATAATTTTTCCAGTTGTACTTCAGATTTTGCTTCAGTTTGACTTGTGCTCCTAAGTAAATAAACCATCTCTCAACTTTTGATACAAATAGTATACCACCAAAACTACTATTTAATGACATTTCCCATTTCCATGTGAAGTCGCAAAGCTAAGAATAGATGTTTATGCCAACTCAATACTGTAAGTTATATTATTACAACCTTTGATAGTGATCTTAATATAACTATTTTCTGAATTTATGAGTTTCTGAAGCATTAAGAACTTTTAATGTTTACCAGTGGTAAAGTTCTTTAGTCACATCTACACAATTGAAATTTGTAATAAGATACATCTATGCTATCCCTGGAAAAGAATTTCAGCAAAATATGAAACAAATATTTCTGTCATCTGTTGGGTAAGTCATTTGGTTTAATTGAAATAATTAATCATATTTGAATTAGAAATATGGTTTTGTTTTAGTCTCCTGCCTCTTCCGCTCCATTCTTATACCTGCAACCTTCTGAGGTTATTTATCAACCAGTGGAAATTGCACAAGATGGTGGATGTGTTCCTCCTCCGCTATCTCTGATGGAAGCTTCAGTTCCAGAGGTATATATTAGTCTCAAAGTGATTTATCTATAACTGTCTCATCTTAACATTTCTTTTTCTTTTCTAAAAATATTTGTTTAAGACCCTCGTGGAAGCTGCACGTTTTTTCTTTGATTTATTCACACCTTTCCGCTTTTATATGTATCTAAGAATGCTTCATCTTAGACTTTTTTACTAACTAGTTCTGAACCATTTCTAAAACCAACTGTTCACTGTACTAGGCTAATCTCTGACTTGATCTCCTCGAAAGAGTAAGATACCAAATACTTCTCTTTCTTCTGGCTTGCCTGTCAATCTGTGTTGTTACTAACATTCTGTGAATTAAAAGCATATAAAAATTCAAAAGATCTTAAAAACTTCTTCCTTCAAATATGTAAATCAAAAATATTTCATGGGGCACCTGGGTGGCTCAGTCAGTTAAGCATCCAACTCTTGATTTCAGCTAGGTCATGATCTCAGGGTCATGGGATCAAGCCCCACGTCGTCAGGCTCTGCACAGTCAGAAGTCTGCTGGAGTTTCTCCCTCTCCCTCTGCCCCTCCCTCCCTCAAATAAATAAATCAATCTTAAAAAGTATACTTCATAACTACAAATTGTAAATGCTATCTTCAGTGTCTTTAAATTACGTTCCCAAACCATTACTTACCTTACCATCTATGTGCCAAGAACTGTACAGGTATGTTTTAAATCAGTGTTATAAAAGATTAGAAAATTAGCACCCACCTCCCAATTAGGGTGTATTATATTATTTTTTATATTGCTAAGGTTTATAATATTATGTTCTGGAACAATAATTTTCACAGTTGGATTTTAATGTTACTATCACTACTTCTACCAGGATTTTTCTGTTTTCATCTCAGCCTGCATTCATTACTTGCTTGACTGAATCTGCAAAGTACTCTTTGTTAAAGAAAGCTTGTGGGTGCTGTATTCTCTGAGTTTCTTACATGCCTATTTGTTCAACATTGTTGTCTATAAATCTGAAAGACAGTTACACTAGCTATAAAATAGCTGCATCATACTGCCAGAACAAAGTACCACAAACCGGGTGGCTTAAACAACAGACATTTATTGTCTCACAGTTCTAGGCCCAGAAGTTGAAGATGAAGGTGTTGGCAGGATTGGTTCCATTGAGGGCCATGAGGGAAGCATCTTTTCAGGCCTCTCTTCTTAGCTTGTAGATGGCCACCTTCTCCTTGTGTCTTCACATTATTTTTCTATCTCTGTGTCCAAATTTCTCAGTTTTTAAGGATAGCAGTCATACTGGATTAGGTTCTATGCTAATGACCACATTTAACTTGATTACCTCTGTAAATACCCTGTCTACAAATCAGGTCACACTCTGATGTACTAGAAGTTAGAACTTCAACTTATGTTTTGAGGGAACCAAATTCAACTTTTTTTTTTTTAAGATTTTATCTTTATTTGAGACAGAGAGAGAGAGACAGAGCACAAGCAGAGGGAGAAGCAGGCTCCTCGCTGAGCACGGAACCTGGGATCATGACCTGAGCTGAAGGCAGATGCTTAACCGACTGAGCCACCCAGGCGTCCCCCAAATTCAACTCTTAACAGTACTATTTTCTTATAGAACTTCTAGTCTACTCTTTTCTGGTGTTGAATGTAGCCTTAAAGAATTTTGAAGCTGGCCTGATTTTCCCCCTGAACATAATTTGCTTTTTCTTCCTGCATGCCTTATGATGTGAGGTGTATTGTTGTTGTTGTTGTTTTTGTTAAGATTTTACTTATTTATTTGAGAGAGAGAGAGCAGGGGGAGGAGCAGAGGGAGAGGGGCCCCCAAATTCCGTGCTGAGCTCAAAGCCTGACACAGGGCTGAATCTCATGATCTTGAGATCATGACCTGAGCCAAAATCAAGAGTTGGGCACTTAAACCACTGAGCCTCCCAGGTGCCCCATGAGGTGTGTTCTTAGTTGTCTTTGCACGTACTATTCCCACCTTTTTTCTCTTAATTCTTCAAGCATCAACTCCACTAGAAAACTTTTTCTGACTACCTCCCCAATTTTCTTAAGCTAAATCAAGTAGTTTTCTTTTCTTCTATATATGTTTCATAGGACTTATGGTAATTTTGACTATTCAACTGTCCCTAATCAGTCTATAAATTAATTAAAGATAGGGAATGTGTTTTCCATTTGTGTTCCTCCATTGTGTAGCAAAATGCCCAGTACATTGCAATGAAAGGTAACACATTTTTTTTCTTTTTTTTATAACAGCCTTATTCTGATCATGGAGTTCAAGCAACATATCACCAGGTTTATGCTCCAAGTGCCATCGCTATGCCTGCACCTGTGATGCAGCCTGAACCAATTAAAGTAAGAAGTGTGTTTTGATCTTTTATTATTTTTTCAGTCATGTTTCAAGTTTTTCAAATTTCTTTTCTGAAAAGAAGTAATTTTGGATACTTATATTACATTTGTGATCAGAAGAACAGAATTAGTGAACTATTTCATGTGAAGAACGTACAATTCTAAATTAACTATAATTTTTACAGTTAGTTTTGAATAAGTTATAAACCACACATGGTCAAAAATGCTTTATTTACTGTAATAAAATATATATAACTTACAATTTGCCACTTTTAAGTGTATAGCCAAGTGGTATTAATTACATCCATAGTGCTATGCAACCGTTACCACTATCTGTTTCCACGCTTTTTCATTACCCCAAATAGAAAATCTGTACCCATTAAGCAATAACTTCCCATTCTTTTCTCCCTACCAGTCCCTGCTACCCTCTAATCAACCTTTTGTCTCATTGAATTTGCCTAGATATTTCATATACTCAGATTTTGGTTGTGTTAATGGCATATAGCATTTATGGGGAGATGAAATCAGTTAACAATCTACTCTTCCAGTTTGGGAATTGTGCTTGTGCATCCTAAATCAGATGCAGGCCAAAGAGTGGAAATCCAGTTAGATCCATGTATATATTCAATATATTTCAACTCTCTACTAGGTAGCCGGGAATTCTGCTTATTCCCTTATGACCTAGTTTCTTAGTGAAACTCTTCATCATTACTTGGAGGAAATGGACTATATCTGTAAGAACACAGATTAACTATTGTGATGGTAATATGAATCTTGTTTACAGTGTACTTTGGTAAGGAAAGTAGGCATACTCTACAATAAAATGATGGAGATTAGCTATTTCACACGCGTATTTATTTATGTGTTGGAACTCAGTACCAAGACAGTCTACTTTAAGGAGCTGCTCCCCTCTCCTATCAGCTCATCCTGTCACCACTCACCGCATTCCTTCACTGCTATTACTACTGTACTGCACACATGAAATAAAACCATAATTTGACCTAGTGTCACAGCCTCGAGTGTTCCTAAAATTTATCTATCAAAATCTTCTAAAACAGACTTCCTCTGATGTTAACATTTTCTCCAAATATACTTCTCTAGGAATAGTGAAAAGAGCTTCGCCATATTAAATAAGTACTAGTTTTTTCAGTTACTGATTATATAGATCATATATATAAACACAAATGATTGAAGTTGTACTTGAATAATTCCAAGAGAGGATGGAGTGGTACTTGGGTAGAAGAAATTTTCAAAGGACATTAGGATAAGGAAGGGAAAAATGAAGGGGGGGGAATCAGAGGGAGAGAGGAACCATGAGAAACTGGACTCTGAGAAATAATCTGAGGGTTTTAGAGGGGAGGGGTGGGGGGTTAGCCCAGCGATGAGTATTAAGGAGGGCACGTACTGCATGGAGCAGTGGGTGTTATACGAAAACAATGAATCATGGATCACTACATCAAAAACTAATGGTGTATTGGGGCGCCTGGGTGGCTCAGTCATTAAGCGTCTGCCTTCAGCTCAGGTCATGGTCCCAGGGTCCCAGGGTCCTGGGATCGAGCCCCACATCAGGCTCCCTGCTCTGCGGGGAGCCTGCTTCTCCCTCTCCCACTCCCCCTGCTTGTGTTCCCTCTCTCACTGTGTATCTTTCTGTCAAATAAATAAATAAAATCTTTTAAAAAAACAAACAAACAAAAAACTAATGGTGTATTATATGGTGACTAACATAATAAAATAAAATTTAAAAAATAAATAAAAACAATTTTTTTAAAAAGAATGTTAATGCTATACATTCTTAAAGTTTAATTCCTCTAGTTTAAGAATAAACACTTTTCTATATTTTCTTAAATCTATGAGTAGGAAATGACAAATGATACAGAGAAACTTCTATCTTAATCTTTAGTCATATAGAAAGTACACATATGTTGAATATAAATCATAACAGAGGCATAAATAGATATCTTTCTTTGTGCATATAAGCTTACAACTGGAACCAGTAACTTGCCTCTTCATTCTAGAGAAATGCTGCTAAAAGGGACTTCACCCCTTCTGTCCTGATACAGATCTTTGCTCTATCATGCCGCAGACCAAAAGGGAACAAAACTACTGACTTGTTTCAATTTGGAATTTAATCTGTCTCATTTAGGGTTAAATAATTCTGGTAATCACATGGGATACATCCTAGGGAATATTTTAGTCCTACCCAAGTTAAAATTTAAAGAATAGGGAAGAGTTGAAGAGTTCTGAACCATACCTAACTAGCTTACTCCAAAGTATCTGAGCACTTGAACTATTATGCTTTTAAGATCAGTATCAAATCCCTAGGTAAGAAGGGTTTAAGTGGAAAATTATAAAGTGTTTCTGTTTTACAGTGTTTTTCCATTTTTGCATTAATATAAGTATCTAATAAATTCGTTCCTACAAGAATTAACTGAGATACTGGAAACTGGGGAAATTATAATTTGAAGTTAACCTTTAAGTTAAATGTTCATTTTATGCACTCTTGCCATTTGCAACGATGTGGATCGAATTAGAGGGTATTATGCTAAGCGAAATAAGTCAATCAGAGAAAGACAATTATCACATGATCTCATTCATATGTGGAATTTAAGAAACAAAACAGAGGGGCATGGGGAAGAGAGAAAAAAATAAAACAAGATGAAATCAGGGAGACAAACCATAAAAGGCTCCTAATCACAGGAAACAAACTGAGGGTTGCTGGAGGGGAGGGCGGTTGGGGCTGGGGGTACTGGGTGATGGACATTAAGGAGGGCATGTGATGCCATGAGCACTGGGTATTATATAAGACTAATCACTGACTTCTGCCTCTGAAACCAATAAAACATTATAAGTTAATTAATTGAATTTAAATAAAAATTAAAATAAAAAATAATTTAAAAAGTTAAATGTTCATTTTATTTAACTCCAGTATATAATAGCTATTCATGAAAATATTTGATATTAAGGATAATATTTACTTGCCAGGCTATAAGGAATTTCTTCTAATTAAAGCACCAATTGGATTTGAATGAAAAGCACAGCTATTTACCTATTACATCTTACCTTTTAGAAAGACACTGTGATTCAAAGGTAAATTAGAAAAGGATGTGACCTCTTACCACTATCTGTTTCTAGCTCAGAGACCCATAATGTACACTTAAAATAAAAATTGACACTTTACAGAAACATTCCACTACTATCTTCTTCCTAACCATTTCCTTATTTCAGTATCAACACTTCCTATAAAGCAAGTTAGAGACTAAGATTCCGAAACATTCAGCAAGTCATCAGAGTAGAAGACAACAAATGTAAAGCACTGCATTCTAGAGGGCAGAGACAGGAAAAGTCTGTGCTTTGCAGCTCTGGGCTTACAGGAAGATAAACATTTTCATGCACTGTACATAGTCAAACTATAGATAGTCTCAGATTCTTTAGAATAAATTATTTTACTCAATAGAGAACTTGGCAGCAGGAGCAAAAAAGCTCACTGAACTAGGCACTAGGAATTGTGTAGGTTCTGTGTGTATCAAGCCTCTATAAGCATAAGAGAGGGGATGGGGACAGTAAGAGGAATCAAGAACTCATGAATCTTTTAGAATTGTCATGGACAGATCTCCATTCAAGGATAAGCTAAACAGAAAAGTACATACTGTATAGGTCCCATGAAAATATTTTTGCATATGGCACTACAGTGAAGGCAAGAATAAATAGCATATATATGGATATATGTATTAAGAACGTATAAGGAAATTAAATTAAACTTGTAAAAACGCATCCTATGTTTCCAGTAATTACAGACTGAAAAACAGGAAAGATGAAATGGTTCTCGGCCAGTTTAAGAAAACACTGTATGAAACTATTGATATGATGGAAAAAATTAAATTTGTCTTTGCTGTAAAGGACCAGTAGTTACTATATAAAAACAAATCCTTGACATAGAATTTTTTAAAATTCTCTCAGAATACAGAAGATAACATGAAAGATAAAATGATGAAAGATAAAATGCTACACTAGAGAGAATAGAGACAAGTCCAACCAAAAAAAAGAGTAATTCTCAAAAAGAATACAGAAAAAAATTGAATGAAAAGAATGAGCAGAAATTTTAATAGTAAAACAAAAACACCCTTGGTTTGTTTTGAATTTACAAGTCAAAATGGATTTGCCATTCTTCAAGCAGAATTAATGAGAGGTAATCCATATATAAATATTCTGGTAAATATCCATTGCCCTCCTTCAAACATCCTGGTCCTTTTAACTTTGTTTCAACCATTTATTTTTTTTTCAACCATGTATTTTTAAATAATTTTAGACCTAAAGTTGCAAAAAATAATAGAGTTTATGTATCCCTTAGCCCACCTTCTCCTAATTTTAACAACTTATATAATCATAAACAATTAGGAAAAACAAAAATTAGCATTGGTACAATAGTACTAACTAAACTACAAACCCTATTTAAATTTCACCAATTTTTCCACAAATATTCTTTTTCTGTTCCAGGATCTAACCCAATACCCCATGTTACATTAATTTGTGATCTCTCCTTACTCTCCTCCAGTCTGTGAAATTTAGTCTTTCTTCATCTTTCATGACTTTGACACTTTTAGAGTACTGGTCAGTTATTTTGGTAATTATCCATCAATATGAGTTTGGTATTTTCTCTTGATTAAATAGAAGTTATACAGGGGCTCTTAGCTGGCTCAGTCGGTAGAGCATGCGATTCTTGATCTCGGGGTTGTGAGTTCAAGCCCCACTTTGGGTGTAGAGATTACTTTAAAAAAAATAAAATCTTAAAAAAATAGAAGTTATGCATTTGGGGCAAGAATATCACAGAAGTGATGTTTTCAGTGTATCATTTCAAGGGAATGTACAGTATATCTGATTGCTGGTAATAAATAACCTTGATCACTTTACGCATGAAAAGTAAATTGCCTAAGTAGCAGAACTAATAAGTGGCAGATCCAGGATTCTAACCTAAGCATGCTTTCTACCAAGAGAAAAAGTTAGCTGGT